TTAATGCGGAGAGCGTAGGATATTTACATTTACGGTAGCCAGCACGAGCGTGGCCTCCGGTTTCGGACACTCGTAACCTACTACACAACCTACCTACACGGGCTGAACGGGAGAAACGGAACAGATAACTCGTCCGTGTGCTCTCCTCTCCTCTCCTCCTCTCTTCTCCTTTCCTCTCCTCCCCTCGCCATTCGCTGTTCCCGGACTGAGAGGAGGGGGGAAGAGGGAGAGACGCGCGTTGTCTCTCCACCGTGGGGATTTCCTGAGCAACGAACGAGCACGGGAATTAGGACCACTAATCTTTCCTGCTGGCCGAAGAGCGACGAGAACCGGGCCAACAGCCGACAAATGCGTTTGCCAGCAGCCCCGTTTCCACCTTCCTTCTTTCCTTTCCCTCCCCGCGTCTCTCGCCCCTCTTTTTGCTCGCCAACTTGCTCTCCAGTTCCTTGTACCTTGTCATTCGGGAATTCGGTAGCACGGGCCCTCTCCCCTCCCCTCCCCTTCGTCCACTCCGTCCGCGGCCCCCTTTTTTTTCGATCCTCTCGGCCTCGATGGAGTGATTAAAGACGCCGTTAGAAACCATTTAGAAGAGAACTCGATGCCTCGCTCGTTCGTCACACCTTCCGACATCGTCCTCGATCCCGTCCACCCCGAATTCTATGTTCCACCAGATAGTTCCTCTCGTGTCTTCTTTAGGTAACTCCAGGTATATGTATATGGGGAGAGAGGCCCAAAAATTTCACGTAATAATTTGTCACGCGAATAAATTATTTCTTTACGATCGCGAACACGATTTGGCGAGATATACAGAAGGCGAACGTGAAAAAAGTAGTATTTTCAACGTGATGATGAATGATGAAAATTTTGATCAAAGATATCGGTAACTTATCTCTTCGATCACTTTTTTCACTCCTCGAAAGAGACGTCTCTCGCGGTTATATATATATATATATATATAGTTATGGAACCAAGTCGAAGGCAGGCGAGATCGTTCTCCGATGCGCTTAGCAAAGCCATCGCTTAATCAACGAGTCGTAAAGAGTCGGGATCGTAATCTCGAGGATGAATCGACACGGAGCGATCGATCGAGGCGAAACTCGCGATTGGGCGCGAGCCATCCGCGTTTCCCGCGGATTATTAATGCGCCTCCGCTATCCCCCCTCCTTCCTCCCTCTCTCTAAAGTGATAATTACCCGGAGAAAATTGGTATCCGCGCGCGAGGCGAGGCGAAAAACCGAAGATTGCCTTCCCCGTCCGAATCGGACCGGTTTCCAGCTAAGGGAATCGGCGGCTGGATCGAGCGTGCACAATAAATTTTATTATCGATTGCATCGATCGCAATTTACGCGTCACCTTAACGACGCTTTAATGCGCCCAACTTAATCCACTCGATCCCCCGATAATCTCTCTTGGCCGAATTTATATATCGATCGCTTATCGGTATCGATGTAATATCGTTGCGAAAAAACGATATCCTCGTTAAAAAGCTTCCCCTCCCCTTCTTTTTTTCCAAATTCAAGATTTTATTAAAAATCACCTAGATTAGAGATTATCCAATTGTTTCACGTGGGATAGATACCTGATCTTGTCCTGATCTTTCTGCCAATTCTTCTCGCGTTTGGAATTTCGTCGAGCAATTTCTCTCTAACTCAACCGATCATCGAATTTTCTCGGCGCACCTGAACCGATCGTCGTCTTTCAAATTAAAATTTCCGGCTTTGGATCTTTGGCACGACTTTTTACACGTTCCGTAAGATACAGCGTTCTTTTCCAATAAACCATTTCAACAGCTTCAACAGCTGATTTCCTAACCTGGGACGCAGAAAGTGACGCGAACGATGCTTCCTTTCTGCGCCATAACGCTCGAAATCGTTGCATAGCGTTCATCACGACTCTTCTTAAAAACGAAAGAACGCTCTTTCGAATGGCACCAGAAACAATTCGAATAATTCGAATTCGTTATGATCGTAGAAAAAAAGAGGAACTTATTTGCACACCTTATATATATACGATACACAGGTGTGCTTTTTCGTCCCAGTTTTCGTGGAGAACCGCTAATCTCGTAGAGAGAGAGAGAGAGGGAGAGAGAGAGAGAGGAGGGTCGTCGTGACACACGCGCGGCATGCGTGTCCCGTGCGAGAGAGCGAGCCGGCCTCTCTTCGTTCCCGCACCTGTTGACTTCTAACTCGGCCGCTTGATTAACGACTCTCCTTCCTAAACCACGCGCTCTCGCGATTTCTTACTCCGTCACGTGAGCGCGCCGCGACACGGTTTTTCGCTTCGACACGAAACCTCGTCGAGCAAATCGGCACCGATTATGGGGGATTGAACGGAGGGGGATATCGATTTCAGTTTGTCGGAACGACAAGGGGATGACGATTCGAAAGGAAAATTGGAAAAAGCGAGAATTGAATTTCCAATTTTCGAACATTTGTTTTTTTTTAGTATCGCGTGAAAATATCTTGGAATGGCGAAGTCGTTAATTATCTCCGCGGACGGGGAGGAAAATGATTTTTCGCTCGTTTGAAATTGAATATTTTTTAATGAATCAAGTTGCGGAATCAACAGATGTAAAGCGTGGTTAATTTGCCTTGATAGTACGCTTCGGGAATCTCTCTAGTCGGAGATAACGTGAAGAATTCGAGATTGAGATAAAGATGGAGGAAAAATTTTTTTCGAATCGACTCATTCTTACGGTGGAATCGCTGAAATTCGATCTCGAGAAAACGATTCGCTCGACAATTATCCCGCGCGGTTGCTTATTAGGAGTAACGCGAGATGCGTGATTAATAGATAATCGCGTCTGAAATAGGCGATCCTGGTGATAATGACTCTCTCACTCTCTCTCTCTCTCTCTCTCTCTTCCGTCGAGACGAGGCGGCACTTAAGTCGTTCGGAACGTGCTACCTGTTAAACGTACGTATTCGAGCATGTGCAATGGTTGATGGGTTAATTAGGAGCGGTTTATCATTCGTAAAGTGTCCTTTGAGAACGAGACCACACGTGAGCTCGAAATATACACACCGTTCGTAAATGATTGTCGGCCCCGTTTGATCTTTCGATCTCGCCTTCATTTGCATCGCGTTCCCTATTTTCCCTTGGAAATTGTGATTTTTCAAATTGATAAATCTCGTCGTTTATACTTTTTTCTTTTCAAACGCGCGCATATATATTTATATATATACATCTTGGAAATTTTTTTCGACTCGATTCAGAGATGGGACGTTGTCGATGGTACGCCTCGCCAAATAAAGCGCGATCTCAATTTTCACCGGCCGACTAATTACCACCGTGTACCGATTAATCGAGCATTCGACGCCTCTCAACTCGGCATCTTTCGATTACAGCGTGCCACTCGACTTTGATTCCTTCGATCGATCGATCAAGCTCCGATACGCAGAGAGAGTTCGAGAGAGAGAGAGAGTTCGAGAGAGAGAGCTCGAGGGAGCTCGAGAGAGAGAGGGAGAGAGAGTTCGAGAGAATTCGAGAGAGAGAGAGAGAGAGAGAGAGAGAGAGAGAGAGAGAGAGAGGGAGAGAGAGTTCGAGAGAATTCGAGAGAGAGAGAGAGAGAGAGAGAGAGAGAGAGAGAGAGAGAGAGAGGAGAGAGGGAGAGAGAGAATGTTAATAATTCATGAATTTTTTTTAATAACTGACATTTAATGTCGATTCGTTCGATCCTCGTGTTCACGGGTTTACTGGACGTTAGATAATGGACGATAATTAGCATCTGGCAGCCGCCAAACGTGTATTTCGTTTCGACGGTACGTGGAACCCTTCGCATCTCATTACGAGCGTGCGCCATTGTATGCACATCAATATGCGTGCAAAGGATATACAAAATATACATATTAAAACGCGCGAGCGGGTTTATTTGCATGCGTGGCGCATACGCGGTCGCCGCCGCGTCTAATAAGCGTTGGGCGCAATTAAGGGCGCCGGAAGTTCTCCGTTCGCCGAGAGATCTGCCGCTTGCTAGGCGTCTGTAACTTTCGACTTCACTCTCAGGCCAATTACAAGGAACGAAAATGTTCCGTATGAATTTAGTTTATTCCGCTTGTACGCGTATTCGTATTCGTATATTCTATCCTTGTATATTCTAACCTTGTTGTTTTTAATTAATTTAACGGAGGAGGGAGGGGAGGGAAGGAGGAAATGGAGATTAGAAAAAATTGAAATTAGTTCGTTTAAAATTCATAGCTTCGTCGGATCAGAAGAGGAGGAGGAGGAAGAAGAGGAAGAAGAGGAAGAGGAAGGGAGAAAACAGAAGGAAGGAAGGAAGGAGAAAAATTCGAGTAAAAGTTATTATATCATTCCTGCCACACCCTCGAATGACGGTTCCCAGAAATCGGGGGAGGGGAGGGATTCCGCGAACCGTCCACCGCGAATTTATGTTGCATGGCCCATGCCAGGTTATTGCAGAAAATCGAAGATATCGCTGCGAGGGGATCAACGCTCAATCCGCACAATTAACGAAGATCCGTGAGACTTTCCATTCGACGTCCCACGCTTTGTTCAGCCTTTGTTTACGGTCTCCACCGTAAAGCGACGTTATTCCCTCTTCC